CTTGTATGAAGTTTTGTAAGTTGTGTTTATTTTTCTAGAAAATGTTCTAACTAAATTTTCAAGTTTATTGTCATACATTGTTTATATTATCCTTTTATCATTTTAACATGGACAAAATCTGCTGAAATGTACCCTTTTTATTTTTGAGATTGCTTATATGTGTTTCCATCTTTTTATCTTTATCAATCTAAAAGTAGCTTTAACAATTTAATTGGCTTTAAAAAATGCAACTGTATTTCATATCTCTATTTCATGTTCAATTTATTATTTTTGCTCTTAATTTGGTAATTTCTTTCTCCTTTATCTTGGATATAATTTGCTGCTTTTTATATTTTTGTACAAATGTTCAGATCATTGACATTCAGTATTTTCAGAATATGCATTTCTTATTTTTTTAATTTTTAAATTAAATTTAATTTATTTTTTTATACAGCAGGTTCTTATTAGTTATCCATTTTATACATCAGTGTATACATGTCAATCCCAATTGCCCAATTCATCACACCCCCACCCCCATCCCCCGCCGCTTTCCCCCCTTAGTGTCCATACGTTTGTTCTCTACTTCTGTGTCTCATTTTCTGTCCTGCAAACTGGTTCATCTGTACCATTTTTCTAGGTTCCACATATATGCGTTAATATACGATATTTGTTTTTCTCTTTCTGACTTACTTCACTCTATATGACAGTCTATCTAGATCCATCCACGTCTCTACAACTGACCCAATTTCGTTCCTTCTTATGGCTAATATTCCATTGTATATATGTACCACATCTTCTTTATCCATTCGTCTGTCGATGGACATTTAGGTTGCTTCCATGTCCTGGCTATTGTAAATAGTGCTGCAATGAACATTTGGGTGCATGTATTTTTTTGAATTATGGTTTTCTCTGGGTATATGCCCAGTAGTGGGATTGCTGGATCATATGCATTTCCTATAAGCATATATATTTATATATATATATATATGCATATATATATATGATATATATTTTCCTATAAGCACAACTTTAGATTTGACCTCCAAGTTTTGATATACATTATCACTCAGTTAAAATTATTTTGTAATTATTATTGTGATCTTTTAATATGATCCAGACTATTTTCAAGCAAGTAAATTTTTTCATATTATATTTTTGTTATTTTTTCCTTTTTTTTTTTTTTTTTGTGGTACACGGGCCTCTCACTATTGTGGCCTCTCCCGTTGCGGAGCACAGGCTCTGGACGCGCAGGCTCAGCGGCCACGGCTCACGGGCCCAGCCGCTCCACGGCATGTGGGATCTTCCCAGACCGGGGCACGAACCCGTGTCCCCTGCATCGGGCATGTTCAGGCGGACTCTCAACCACTGTGCCACCAGGGAAGCCCTATTTTTTCCTTTCTTAATATTGTTTAGTGATATTGATAAGATATATATTTTATGATTTCAATCCTTTGTAATTTGTAGAGCTCTTTTCTTTAATAGGCCAGCTGAAAGTCCATTTTATAAACGTCCTTTGTATAATTGAAAAGAAAACTGCAATTGTTTCATGTACTGCTCTTGATAGGTCATTTCTGTTAGATTTGTTAATTGTTTTTCAAATCTTTCACATACTTTTAAAGTTTTTGTTTGTCTTAGCCATTTTTTGAGAGACTAGCTTTTGTTTTCCTTGTTTTTAAATATACCCTGACAATCTTTTTTACTTGTAGTATTTGTTGACTTACATTCAACATAATTACTTTTATATTTGGGTGTAAATCTCTTAGCAGTTGCTTTCTTTTTTTTTTTTTTTTTTTTTGTCTGTGTTGGGTCTTCTTTGCTGCACGCGGGCTTTCTCCAGTTGCATCAAACAGGGTCTACTCTTGGTTGTGGTGCGTGGGCTTTTCATTGCGGTGGCTTCTCTTGTTGTGGAACTTGGGCTCTAGGCGCACAGGCTTCCGTAGTTGTGGCACGTGGTCTCAGTAGTTGTGGCACACGGGCTTAGCTGCTCCACAGCATGTGGGATCTTCCTGGACCAGGGCTCGAACCCGTGTGCCCTGCATTGGCAGGCGGATTCTTAACCACTGCGCCACCAGGGAAGTCCCAGCTGTTGCTTTCTTAAAAATGAGTAATGAGATGTCAAAGGGAGTTTTTGTCAAAAAAAATAGAAAGTATATGAGAACAATCAAAGAACTCTTCTTAATGGAATTAACCAAAATGCATTGTTATATATAACATTGACTGCTCTTGTAAGAAATTGGGTTATGTTAGTGCGGGTTCCCAGATGCTCTCCAAAACATGGTGGATTTGTGGGGTCAGGCTAATATAGGGACTTGACAGAGGTGGATTTCTCCTTAAAATGAATGAGAAGAATAAAGTGTTAGGAGAAGGGTGGATACCTGAGAGAGCGGGACCAGAAAAGTGAGGACCTGAATGGTTGGAGATGGGGGGGAGTTGAGACCATCAAGGGCAGAGTACAAAAGAGTCTTGGGAGAAAAAATCACACTTGGAGTATGATGTGCATTTCTTTCTCTATATGTCACCTTTACCCTTACTGTATCAGTTTTTGCTAATATTTGTGAAAGACATCAATTAGGTAAAGGAAATCTAGGCTCAGCCCCCAGCAGATATTGATTCTATATTGGTCCTGCTGTCTTCCCACTTTTCTACATCGATTATGTAAATTCAGAGAGACAACCAAGACAGAAACTCTTAGAAAATAATAGGATATCATTCTTCTCAGGAGGTAGATTGCACAAGGCAGGGGTAGTATGGATAGGAGCTTTCAGACCATGTAAGTATGGTTTAGGGCTCCAGAATGAAATCTAAACACAGAAGATTCAATGGCCATGATTTATTACAAGAGTTCAGGATACTTGCAGAAAGAGAGTAATTTATCAATATTAATCAGTCACCCTCCCATATCAGGTGTAATCAGAGGGAGAAGTTGACTTGGATTTTGGACAAGTGGTTTCATTTTCTTATGTCTTTGATTCCTAATTGAGAAAAACAAAAATAGAAACTAGACTCCATACCACACAGAATTATTGTGAGTTTCACATAGGATAATGTATATAAAATCACTTTGTGTATGATAATACAACACATACACACACACACACACACATCTCGCCCTTTCGGCATTGACCATTTGACCTTGTATGCTAAAGGTTGGAGATACCAAAGTCTAATCTCTTAAGGGTTTTCCCCAAGGACTAGTTCTACTCAGCCTCACATAAGATGATAACATAAGTGATCTTGAACACTTGTGATAGATTCGCTTGGTTTCTAAGCTTGGAGAGCTTGACCCAAGACTGGCTTTCTTTTCTAAAAAAATGATGAATTTACTTTCATTCTTTCCTGTATCCTTTTTCCTCACACGATATGTGGAGTTCCAGGGCCCCAGCACAGCTTGGGTTAACATTGAGTAGGAGAAACCACAGGAAAGGCAACATGAAGAAAGCCCTAGGGCGAGAGTGAAAGGATGTGGTGAAGTCAGGGATATTGGGAAATATGAATCCTGCTAGGATGGCCAGGTCCTCCAGTTCCTGTTCTGCTTCTGGCTGGAGCTTGTATCTTCTGTCTCTTGCAGCCACTGGAACAAGCTCTACCTTAAGGGTGGCTGCTGGCAGCTCTTGCAGCAAGATCTCTGCTGTAGCAATGGTGGAAGCTGGGCTGTTGTGTAAGGAACATGTGCGGGGAACTCCTTTGGCCTCCACAACTCTGTCTTTAGCCTTCTCTATCTCTGGTGTCCACCAGAGATAGAGAAGGCTTCGAAGTCACTAACCACCCCTGCTGAGCACTCTCTAGTTCTGGTCTTTCTGTCCCCTCTTTTCCTGAGTGCTCTATAGGGCCCTTCTGTCCTTATTGGTTCCTATCTCAGCTGTGATCTATTCTCCCTCACTATCTCCCTTCTTCTCATTTTGTCATAACTTCACTCTGGGTCTTGCTCCCAAAGAGCTCCTTTTACTCAATCATTGGGCTTCCCTGCCACCAGACACTACTTTGACATTGGTCAGCACATACGGACAAATCAATTTCCTTGTGCTGCACCAATGGTCTTATAACCTCTGCCTTGAGTCTTCTTGGCCACTGGGTTCTGTTAATCTTTCATGTGTTCTTTGTTGACCTTCATAATTGTTTTATGAACACTACTGTGTCCATAAAATAAAACATGTTTTTTTATTGTTGGGATGTAGTACCAACATGCCACAATGTAAATGCTTTGCTTACCAGTTTATACACAATGTCCAACTCAGCATATATAAGGTGGTTTGTGTTATGAGATAATACAAAGAAAACTTGTAAGGATATAATCAAGGTAAAGAGGTGAGCATAAACATCACAAAAATGTTTGTCTCTGAAGCACTTAACCCTTCTTATAAACTTCTTCGGTATTTATAGGATTCTCTTTCTATATCAGTCACAGAGCAGACAAATACTTGGGTTTTCAGTTGACTTTTTTTTTTTTGTGGTACGCGGGCCTCTCACTGCCGTGGCCTCTCCCACCGCGGAGCACAGGCTCCGGACACGCAGGCTCAGCGGCCATGGCTCACGGGCCCAGCTGCTCCGCGGCATGTGGGATCTTCCCGGACCAGGGCACGAACCCGTGTCCCCTGCATCGGCAGGCGGACTCTCAACCACTGCGCCACCAGGGAAGCCCCCTTCAGTTGACTTTTAATGACCTAACAATTAGACCTCCATCAGCTGAGTGTTTTTCTTTTGCACCCCATCTCCCTAGCCATGTATCAGCATTTTACTTCTGTGATCTCTTAGAGAAAACTTAATATAATAAATATTTTTTGAGTAGTTATTATGTAGTAGGTAATTTAAAAGGCACTAAAAATATAAAAACAGATATTGGGTCTTTATGTGATTTACAGTCAAGTGAGGGCAGAGGACATTAATCAAATATTCACTCAAAAGACTTGTATAGGTAAGACCTAAAATGTGGTAAGTACTGGGGAGGGGAATATAATGTCAGAATATTTGACCTTTTCATGGAGCTCAAGGAAAAGCTCTTAAAAACTGAGCAGAGATATAGAGAATATTTGGGAGGTAACCTGATGGAGAAGAGAAGAAGGAGAATTTCAGGTCTAGAGAACAACTTCTGTGAAGGCAATGTGGTGAAATACAGCATGAGTTCCAGAAATTAGTTTAATGGAGTTGTGGTCCTGAGAGTTTGGGTGTTTGGTGTAGGAAGAGACAGAATAAGTAAGGAAAGGTTAAACCTGATAGGGATTTCTAGGCTATGTTATGGAATTTGGTATTATTATAAGGAAGATATTGAGGTATTTTTTAAAGGGAAGATTGCATTGTCAGTATATATTTTTAAAAACATCACAGAATTCAAGGCAGGGAATGATTGAAATGGAAGAAAAGTAAAACAGGAAGATGTTGTTATTGCAGTTATTTAATATTTTAGTACCTTTGTATTAAGATCGTGAAAGGGGTGATGGAGAGAGGAGGACAAGTTTGAGAGAGATTTAATAAAAAAAAATAAGTAAAACTTGGTGATATGAGATGGAAAGGGGATAGCAGCCTAGAGCTGTGTGTGAAAGAGAGGGTTATAACAAGACCACAGCTGGTTTATAGATGGCATAATTGTCTTGTATGGCATGTCCTTTATTGAGATATGGAGTGCTGGAAGATGGTTCCTTTTATGATGAAATTTAATGAATTATTTTTATATGTTGAGTTCGGAGTACCTTTGAGATTGTAGATTTGCTACGTTAAACAGGCAGGACGGTATACAGGTCTAGTGATCAGGGAATGATCTGGACTAGAGATATAACATTGATAGGCATTGCATTGTATGTGGTAGTTGAAATCATGAGAATGTAGGTGATTAGCTAAGGATATCATAGAGGGAAGATGCAGAAAAGATAAAGACTGAAGTTCCAAAAATACTGGCAAAACAAGACGGATGATTGAATAACTACATTGATCATTCACATGTAAAAATCTATTCATCATAACTACTCATTTTCTAAAACATTTTCTCTATTGCCCTTTCCACACTTCTGAGAAATATTACTATACCCACATGAATCATAAATGGACACACACACACACACACACAGCCCTCTAGGACACATGCAACCCTCTGAACTTTCTTATGATCTGAGCTCAAGCTTCATGTGGTGTCTCTCAGTCAGACAAATGGAGACCAATTTTCTGCCGAGTGGATTACAGTTGACAAATCCACTGATGATGTTTCTCACAACTTTCTTCAGCTATCTTGGTATAAGACACCAGGACACATTTCATACTCCTGGTCCGTGGCTTTTTTTTTTTCTTTGAAAACCTATAGAAAGAAAGCAAATGGTTACCTTTACGTCAGCCATGAATATATGCATATGTCAAGAGACTTAAAAGGAAATATTTTTTAATTTTTTGGTGAAAACATAATCATTCAAACAATTTAAATACACAACAGTATGATGGGTAAAGCAATTCTTCCCACTTTTAGCTTTATTTCTCAAAACCTCTCTCCAGAGAAGTTCATAGTTCATTAGAGATAGCTAAAATATTACCTCTGACTTTTTTATCATTTGAAAATTGATCACTGTAAGAAATAAGCAGGAAGTTATGTTTCGTAAACTAAACCTGTGCACTCATAAGAGAGTTTATACTTGCTAATTTACCTTTTAGATAAAAAGACAAAATCAGGCAGTGGGGCAAATCCTGTTTCTCACATAAATCTTCTGAGTGGCTGGAGGGAGATTTCTTTTCTTTCTCAACTTTCTGTGTGAACCATTTTATAGAAATATTTATCAGAGTGTAGGAAATTTATACCCGTTCTATCAGTTCAGGGCCAACAATGTCAAACGTCTCTATCTTGTCACATACAATATGGGATTAAAACCACAAAAAATGCGACAAAACTTACAGCTGGGGGTCAAAAGTGCTATTGTCCACCCAGGTCCATAATTCCTCTCCAGGAGGGATCCTCAAACCAACCCAATAAGAGGCTGAAGCCTGTAGGTTCCGCCATAGGAAACTCTAAAAAGAATAGGAAATGTTACATGAAACAAAGTGATTCTGACAGATGCAAGAAAAATAGCGCAAGTGCACCTTCTATGTGCTTGGCACTGCACTAGAAGCTGGGAATGAACAGGTTAGACATGCTCCATGCTTTCAAATAGATCACAGTGGAGGGAAATTTTACTGCAACTCAATGGGATGACTGCTAAACAACAATTACGTACAATGTTAGTAGATATCAAAGCTGTGGAGTCCAGCTCCGTGATTTGAGTCCTAGCACTACTATTTACTACTACACATCTTTGCACAGTTATTCAATCTTTTTACTTCTGTATTTTTCCAATCACTAAAATTCAGATTATAATAGTACTATCTCAAAGAGCTATTATTGACTTGTTAATAAATAATAATATTATTAAACACTTCCTGGCACATAATAAATGCTCCTTGCATAAATGTTAATGATTACTACTAAATACAAGTATGAAATAATATCTAGAAGCAAGAGAATACCCAGGGAAAGTTACAGAAAGAAAGCAATCTCTGAGCTGATGGGACACATACTGTTCATAGGTTTTTTTGTTTGTTTTTGGTTTTTTTAAAGATTTTTTTGGTGTGGACCATTTTAAAGTCTTTATTGAATTTGTTACAATATTGCTTCTGTTTCGTGCTTTGGTTTTTTGGCCAGGAGGCATGTAGGATTTTAGCTCCTGACCAGGGATCGAACCCACACCCCCTGCATTGGAAGGCAAAGTCTTAACCACTGGACTGCCAGGGAAGGCCCTGTTCATAGGTTTTTTTTTTGTTTTTTGTTTTTTGCGGTACACGGGCCTCTCACGGTTGTGGCCTCTCCCGTTGCGGAGCACAGGCTCCGGACGCGCAGGCTCAGCAGCCATGGCTCACGGGCCCAGCCACTCCGCAGCATGTGGGATCTTCCTGGACCGGGGCACGAACCTGTGTCCCCTGCATCGGCAGGCGGACTCTCAACCACTGTGCCACCAGGGAAGCCCCATAGGTTTTTAATATCTCTTTTTGTACAGTGACATAACCCCTGAGCCAAAGTATATGGCCAGCCATAATAAAGGGGACATTTCCCAGCCTCCCTTTTGGCTAAGTGTGACAATGTGACTGACCTAATTTCTGACTAATGGGATAGAATCAAAAAATACTGAAAAAAAAAAAAAAAAAACTGAAATTCTAATTCAGCATTTAAAGAGTAAGTTCATATCCTTCTATTCATCATTTTCTTCTCCCCTGATGGCTAGACTGTGAACTGTGATTGGTTCTAGTGGTGAACCAATCAGAAACAAGTAGACCCAGCACCCTACTGATGGGAGCAGAAATCTCATAGCAGTTTAGACTACAATGTGAGTGACATAACTTATTACATATATTCTAAGGTAGATCTTTCCCCTATTTTAACACTTTGACTTTGGAAACATTGAACAATCTAATGGCTTATGGTAGTTTCATTGGCAGCTCAGTTTTTGCTTTTTAATTGCACTATTTCTTTTAAGGGTACTAATGATACATATTATCATTGAAAGTGTCTTAGGTTCAATGAATAAAGCAAACATCCATTTGTTTCAGCTACAGCAATTCTGGAACTCTGTCACATGCAGCTTAACTCATATGCTAAATGACAAAGCTGTTTGTTGGAAAATAGTCATTAGGCATATAAAAGAGAGAATGGTGTTTCTCCACTGAATTATCTTTGCCCTACGGTCAAAAGAAATCAGTTGACTATATTTGTGTGAGTCTATTTCTGGCCTCTCTATTCACTTTTGTTGATCTATAACTCTCTTCTTTGCCAATACTATACCATATTTATTAATTTAGGTTTATAGTAAGACTTGAAATTGAGTAGTGTAAGTCTTCCATTCGCTTGCTTTCTTTGGGTTAGTTTGCTCTTTTCATAGGTTTTTTTTTAAGTAGAAGCTTAGAGTAATGATTCTACATTATCTTCTTTTCAAATATAAGCATTTGATGCTATAAATTTCCCTCTAAACTGCTTAAATTGAAACCCATGAATTTTGACATTATAGTGTTATTTTCATTCAACTCAAAATATGCTTTAAAAAAATTTGCCCTGATGCTTCCTCTTTGACCCATACATTATCTAGAAGTGTGATGTTTAACTTTCAAACGTGTGGGATATTTCCAAACATCTTTCTGTTTCTAATTTGCACTTTAATTTTGTTATGGTCTGAGACATACCCTGTGTGATATCTGTATTTGTAAATTTTTAGGTCCCAAAATATGATCTGTCTTCATGAAAGTTCCTTGGAAAAAAATGTGTATTCTGCTGTTGTTGGATAGTATTCTGTAGAATCCGTTAGGTGTAATTGGTTGATAGTGTTGTTCAGATTCATTTATTTATTTATTTATTATCTACTTGTTTTGTCAGTTACTCAGAGAAGAGTGTTGACATCGCCAACTATAATTGGGGATTTATCCATTTCCCCTTTCAGTTCTATCAGTGTTTGCCTTGTTGCATTCACGTGTATAATTGATCACTATAATGGGCTTTAAGGGCTAGAGCCCATGCTCCGCAGCAAGAGAAGCCACCGCAATGAGAGGCCCGTGCGTCGCAAGGAAGAGCAGCCTCTGCTCGCCGCAACTAGAGAAAGCCCACGCGCAGCAACGAAGACCCGACGCAGCCAGAAAATAAAAAATAAATTTATAAAAATAAAATCAATACTGGCCTTATTTAGAAGGTTTAGTGTCCAACCTTCTTGTAGCAAAATTTCAATCTAAATTAAGCCAGAGCTAGAAAAATACTTGTTTTCTTCAACAAAGAGCAAAACCTCATGAGAAGGACTATGCTGTATTTCCTTTCCCCCAACATCATCTTTAATTTCAGCTGCCATGCAATCTGCTTACAACCTTTGTGAGCAATGGGTTAAACATGGGAGATGAGATAGATATTTTATGTCATACATTTAAAATGAAATCTGGTAAGCAGTGGGGTCCCTTGTAGAGAAGAACTTAGGTACATAATACCAAATGAATTCCTCTTATACCTAGCCAAAAAAAAGCCTGAGATAATAATATAGTTCAATGACTCATTCAACCAATAATTGTGTAGTTAATAGCAATGAGGTTTAAAAAATTTATTTCACAGAAATTTTCAAATTTGTAACATAAAGAAGGTATTGCAGTTGTGAAGGATGCTATAATCTCCAAATTTTATATCTCACCATATCAATGAAGTCTTGGATCACCATGAGATGTGAATTTTTCATGACACAGTCATTTTTACTTTCATTCCAAGATTTCTCACTTTTAGCAACCCAGTAACATTTCCCCCCATGTAGCTTCCAGTCTTCAGAGGGGCATGATTTACTAGCAGTAGAAGAGTTGAAATAACCTGGAAGGAAAAAGGATAAGTAATTAAAAGGAACTTGCGACTGTATCCCTAATACTGTGTGTATACTAATTAAAGATTCTCAAAATGTGTTAAATTATGGCCTAAGCTTTCTTTGACAAAAGTAAGTGCTTTCCTCCAGGTGGATTTTGAAAAAAAATAAAGATTAACAGAATTGCAATATGTGTATATTGTTTCTTTCTCTCTTTCTTTTTTCTTTCTCCATTTAGGTTAATTCTCTTAAAAATATATTACGCTTTCTATCAGCTAGGCAATGCACAGACACTAGGATAAAGCAATGGACATCCAAGCCTCAGGGAGATAAAAATTTGGAGGAAAAGTAGAAATTAGAGAATTTAATTAGTGGTCTGCCAATGAACCAGACCTTTTGAGAATTATATATCACACTGGAAGAATTTTTCTTGGGAAAAAATTGTGTAATAGATGTCCCCCCAAACTCATGATCTACCCATGTACAAGTGGATCCTGGCATCCAAAAATGTGCTGGTAACAAATAGATCTAATTTATAATATTTGCCAGTAGATTTAGATGATGACAGTATAGGTATCCTACACATACCGATAATTTATTGTCCCCTGAAATAAATATTCTTTAAAAACACACATATACATACACACAATGACTTGAAGCCATTGAAGAGTAAAAAAAGCAGGCAGATTTTGGAGAGTAGCTGACACTTGAAATAAGGTATGACAATTTAGAAATTTCCTGTTTTTACAACTTTTAGCCTAAGACAGACCAATGTTGGTGCCATGTAGAATGAGCAAAATTTTGGTAGACAATTTGAAGTCTCTCTAGTCTGAATAACCAAAGAACAGAATTGGGGGCAACTACAGATGTTGAAAATAAAGAGTAAATTCCATAAAAGAAATAAACAAAAGGTGTGCATCAACTGCTGTGTATAAAAATTTTCTAAGTCCCTGGCTGATGAATGTGGAAGCTAGATTACAGATAAAAACTAAAAAAAAAAAAAGAAAAAAAAACTGACTTGAGATTTAAACTGCTGCCCCCAAAATAGAAATTTAAATGAATCAAACCATACCAAGAAAAATCAACACTTTTTGGAGAAATGTATCAGGATCAGTCAAATTTTAAAAAATCAAATACTTTAAAAAAACAAGCCAACATTTTTTAGCAGGAAATACAAACAAGAGATTTGGTCACTGAGGACTTTAGATATTTAAATAATTATATGTATCATAAACAATAATGTTTACATTATTTTAAGAAATAAAAGAATAAATTACAAAATGATCAGATAACAGGAGACTATCACAAGCTAACTGGAGGGTTTGAAACTAAGTCCTTAGGTTTGAAAACTATAATCATTGAAATTAGACTCAGTGAATGAGCCTACAGCTTAGAAACAGGAACAGAGAGAATTTGTGAACCACAAGGTATATCTGAAAACATTGCCAAGAATTCAGCACAAATTGACAATCATGAGGACAAAAATGAGAGGTTAAGTGAAATGGAAGATAGAAAGCAAAGGCCTATCGAACATCTAATTTAAGTCCTAGAAATAAAATACAGAGAAGGTAGACAAAGAATTAGGAATGATGGCTGACTAGTTCTATTAAGTTATACTTTACATATTTTAAGTTTATTCTATTATTTTATTTATTTTTTATTTTTTGAATTTTATTTTATTTATTTTTTTATATAGCAGGTTCTTATTAGTTAAGCATTTTATACATATTAGTGTATATATGTCAATCCCAATCTCCCAATTTATCCCACCACCACCCCCCTGGCCACTTTCCCCCCTTGATGTCCATACGTTTGTTCTCTACATCTCTGTGTCTATTTCTGCCCTGCAAACTGGTTCATCTGTACCATTTTTCTAGGTTCCACATATGTGCATTGATATAAGATATTTGTTTTTCTCTTTCTGACTTACTTCACTCTGTATGACAGTCTCTAGATCCATCCTAGTCTCTACAAATGACCCAATTTCGTTCCTTTTTATGGCTGAGTACTATTCCATTATATATATGTACCATGTCTTCTTTATCCATTCCTCTGTTGATGGGCATTTAGGTTGCTTCCATGACCTGGCTATTGTAAATAGTGCTGCAGTGAACATTGGGCTGCATGTGTCTTTTTGAATTATGGTTTTCTCTGGGTATATGCCCAATAGTAGGATTACTGGGTCATATGGTAATTCTATTTTTTGTTTTTTAAGGAACCTCCATACTGTTCTTCATAGTGGCTGTAGCAATTTACATTCCCACCAACAGTGCAGGAGGGTTCCCTTTTCTCCACACCCTCTCCAGCATTTGTTGTTTGTAGATTGTCTGATGATGCCCATTCTAACTGGTGTGAGATGATATCTCATTGTAGTTTTGATTTGCATTTCTCTAATAATTAGTGATGTTGAGCAGCTTTTCATGTGCCTCTTGGCCATCTGTATGTCTTCTTTGGAGAAACGTCTATTTAGGTCTTCTGCCCATTTTTTGATTGGGTTGTTTGTTTTTTAATATTGAGCAGCATGAGCTGATATATATATTTTGGAGATTGATCCTTTGTCCTTCGATTCATTTGCAAATATTTTCTCCCAGTCTGAGGGTTGCCTTTTTGTCTTGTTTGTAGTTTGCTTTGCAAAAGCTTTGAAGTTTCATTAGATCCCATTTGTTTATTTTTGTTTTTATTTCCATTACTCTAGGAGGTGGATCAAAAAAGATCTTGCTGTGATTTATGTCAAAGAGTGTTCTTCATATGTTTTCCTCTGAGAGTTTTATAGTGTCTGGTCTTACATTTAGGTCTTTAATCCATTTTGAGTTTATTTTTGTGTATGGGGTTAGGGAGTGTTCTAATTTCATTCTTTTACCTGTAGCTGTCCAGTTTTCCCAGCACTACTTATTGAAGAGACTGTCTTTTCTCCATTGTATATCCTTGCCTCCTTTGTCATAGATTAGTTGACCATAGGTCAATACAAGCCTACCTCAAGAAAGAAGATAAATCTCAAATAAACAATCTAAACTTACACCTAAAGGAACTAGAGAAAGAAGAACAAACAAAACCAAATTTAGTAGAATGAAAGAAATCATAAAGATCAGAGCAGAAATGAATGAAATAGAAACAAAGAAAACAATAGTGAAGATCAGTAAAACTAAAAGCTGGTTCTTTGAGAAGATAAACAAAATTGATAAACCATTAGCCAGACTCATCAAGAAAAAGAGGGAGAGGACTCAAATCAACAAAATATTATTTTATTAAGATGAAAAAAATTTAGAGTTGGTATCCTTTCCTGCTGGATTGAAACTAGGATTCTAGGGCCTGTTATAGATAGGATTATCTGTAACAATAGAAGGATTAGAAAACAAGTTAGACAGAATTTAAAGCTAGAGGCTTTATTAAATACCACTGTTACCACTTGTATCAAGGGTATAGGAGTACAGTAATACGCTTTTGTTCTGGGGATAATGTCCCACAGAATTTGCCCTCATAGTCTCACTAGTTAAAAAAAATTAAAGTTTTTAGAATGTGGTCAAGGGGGCTTGGGAACATCAAAATCTATTTTAAAGTTTTAATGAATTCCTAGAATTTGAATGTATCCTATAACATGGACTGGTGAGTCTTTCTAATAGAATTATATATGCATGTTCAAAAAAAGAAAGGTATATCATTTTTCAATATAGAATTAAATTAACGGATTAAAAATAATAAAGAAAACAGCTGGAAAGAAAAAGAAAACAGAAAGGACAAATGACTGAGTGTCTTCTCGACTTTAAAAAGTAGGTAAATACATTCAGATGAGAAAGCAAGATAAAGGTTACCATTTACAGTTTTTTACATGTAATGACATTAAAAATGGACAAAAAGCTACCTGATATGATCATGAATTTTAAGAATGAAAATATTTTGATTACATTCTGTGCCTGCACATGTCCCAAAAGAAGTTAAAAAAAGAAAATGCAATTATTCCAATATAATACCTCTAAATTCATTTACAGCTCATTATATAAGCTTATTTTTCTCATTTGTCTTGGATCTTTAAATATTTTTGTCAAGGACTGTAATAGTTCCCTGAAAAACAATGATCTAAACCATCCCTCTGTAGGGGTAGAGGAATCTCCTCTTTATTCAGATATACCCAAGTAAAATCCACACTACTGTCCATACTTGTTCACTCAGGAATTAGGCAATATAAAATAACATTACCTATTGAGGTGCTTGTTTCAGATTTATTTTGCCCAGTACAGTATTTCTCTTTTGATTCATTATTTACTTTAGTATGTCTTGCAGATTTGAACCGGATAACTAATAAAAGAAGAAGCATATTTTCTGTATTAAATACAAAGCAGAAATTCATTGGGTTCTAGAGACTCTGAAGTTCATTAATGTGGAAACTCCATAGTAATTTAAATGATTAAAAATTTAGAGGGAAAAACAACATTACTTTTTCCAAGATTTGGACGTTCCTTTGCAAGCATTCTTGTTAACCTTATTAATGCTAACTTTAGGGGAATTGGAAAAATATGACCTGGGACCAGAAGGATACTCACTTTTTTTTTTCGGAGTTTTCATATTTATTTTAATAAACACAAAATAACCAGCTCTGGATATAAGCCTCATTTGGATAGCTTGTATTTTGGGAGTTCTTATTCACTGTATCAGGTATCACTTGATTCATGGAAAGGGTTTTATGTGTTTTGACTTCAGTTCATGATTCTGTTCCTTTTGAGACTGTGCATGTAAATCGTACACATAGAAGGGTAGGGTGAGCCCAGAGTATTTTTCGACCATGAAGAAGACAGCTGTCTTTCTGATGGCCACTTAACTGAAATTAGTTTTGGTAATTTATAATGTCACAATAGTGTGTATTAGGCAATTAAATCTTTAAAATCTATTGTAGTAACAAACAAATCTGTTTTACTAACAAAAAACTGTTTTGATAACAAATCTATTATCTTATAACAAAAGGAAACATAGCAGAGATAGTTTCTTGTTTTTTGTTTTGGCCCCGTTGCCTGGCATGGTGGGATCTTAGTTCCCTGACCAGGGATTGAACCCATGCCCTCTGCAGTGGAAGCGTGAAGTCTTAACCACTGGACCACCAGGGAAGTCCTAGCAGAGATGTTTAATGCTAAGTATTTTTGCTTCCTCCCCTCAATGTTAAAGCCCCAATTCAGCCATTGACTAGTTACATTAAACTAGTCAAACCACTTATCACTCTGGGTTTTAGATTGTTCACCTCAACTGGAGGTTTGACCTTGCTGATTTCTAGAGCCCCATTCAGTTCTGAATTCTATGACTCCTACTGACCTCGAATTACTAATGACATTCATGATTACAAATATCATTCACAAGGGCAACATAGGCAGACACGGCCTTTGTCTGTTCTAGAGTTTGGTTTAATCTGGAAATCTGAATTCCTTAGAATATATATACCATCTGGGAGTTTTTCTCCAAGCATTTATTCAATAAAATATTTAAATAATTGTCACATGAAATTGGACTATGTTTAGCTATATCCACAGTATATGAGTATAATTTTAAAATACTTGATTGAATTGATTGATTTTAGACAAATTTCCCATCCATGAATACAAGATTGATGATGATGTCCAGGAGTAACTAATATGGATAAGCTTAAACAGAAATATGCTTCATTATTTAATTTGCTTTCACTGACCGCAGCTTCAGAGAAGATGGTGTATAACTCACAATCAACGGCATTGGGAAATGCATCGTGCATAAAATGCACTTTATGATTTTGGTCATAAAATATAAATCTAATCTCTTTATCAATGAAATGAATCCATAATATGTATTATATCACAATCTGAAGTTCTATGGAAAATCTCTAATTTTAATTGTGTATCAAATTTCATGCTTTTTGTGAAGTTATAATGTATAGGAACCACTTGAACAGCAAACGCAATTACAATAGGTGGTGCTAAAATACTTTGGGATAAATAAATGGTATTGATAATTACTTACCAAAAATGCTCAGCACAATTACTATTACAAGAAGGATGATAATCATTGCACATTCAACTTTCAGGAAAATTCCATGGTGGTGAGAATCTATAAAATTGGATAGATTTCACTAATAAGCCCAGTAAATAATTCCTTAGGTAGTAAGAGGTAGGGAAGGGCTGAATAAACTTTGTCAGTTATGCTCTTGAGTTACTTTCCTTTGAAATATGTAGATCCAGCTTCCTTTTACACACGTACACACACACACACACACACACACACACACAGCATATTTGGTCCCCTGGTTTGTGAAAAGGGGGACCTAGAAAACTGTGAATAGATGTAAATTTTTCCTTTTTGATTTACCATACATATTCCTCAGTATTAATCTTAATTATAATTTACTCTCTGTATCCCTAAGTTTTTATATAAGACTGTGAAATTCTCCGGTCTCTAATAAGCTTACTGACAACACTCACTTATTTGGATTGATCCGTTCTTTCATGCCTCCTCCTTTATACAATACACCTATTTCCTGTGACATGTAATTGTAATTGCATAAAATCATACATTTTAAAATAAAAGTAATTTTAGGGATAATCTTGTCCAACATTCGCATGTTAAAAATGGGGATTTCAAGTCCACAGTCACACAGTTACTTGATAGCAGAGCTGAGACTGTACCTTGGGTGTCTTGACTACCAAAATTAGTACGGTGTTCACTATCTACTCTATCTCTTGTACTTGAAAGATAAATAAATCATAAAAAGAAACTGGCATTTTTAGCTTTGGGTTGATAGTTAAAACCAATAGGCTCTTATCCCAAATAGTTACAGTATATCAATTCCACTAGATATGTGATATATACACACACACATACAATATACTGAGAGTGCACTACTATAACTGATGTTGAAGTAGAACCAATTACAAAACCAAGTGTCGGGACATTAACCTGAGTGTTTATTTAGTGGAATCCTATTATAGAGTGTTTTGTCCACATTATTATTGTTATTAAGTAAAACATCTTTAGTGAGAATTTATTAATTCTCAAAGCACTAAAAGAAATCCATGTATTTTCTTTTATTAGGCAAAACAATGCAAAGTATACCAGTCAAGGCCATCACCAGAAGAATGTGATAATATCCCAACACACGTTTCTAGTGTGAAGAACTGGGGTTACAGACTTAAAAAGCTGGAGAATAAAGCATCAGAGTTCATGAAAGGACTAATATAAGGGGTACTAGGTCATTCTTTTAGGCCCCTGAAGTAAAGGTTATAAAGGCATGAATTTCTGAATCTTAGCCTGGGATATTCTCAGTGGAATCATACTTTGTTACTGAGATTTCACTCAGTGTCATGGTGATAGCCCTCTTTGTTTTGTATCTTGGAGAACTGATGAACCTACAATATTTAAAGTGTTTAGTATAAATGAAATCCATTTATTTAGTCATCCATTTATTCATCCGCCTACCCAGCATCTATCGATTGCCTGCTATGTACTTAGTACTGTGTGAGGTGCTGGGTATACAAAGATTAAGAGATTAGGGAGAGGGTTTCAACACATACGAGGCTCTGAAATGGAAAAAAATATGGTAATTTTAAAGAGCAAGAGAAAGCCAACAACCAGAGCAAAATATGTGAAATTTACCGAGTTAGAAGAGAAAGACCAGGGATAATAGTGTAGGACTCTGTAGGACATTACAATCCAATGTATCAAATAGTTCTTTCCCTCTTCAATGATATGACACATGAGAACAGAAGTTGCGTTTATCCACAACAGAGACATGCAGTGAAAGAGTAATATGATATTTGACTTCTGGTCATAAGCATGACTGCAGGTAGATAATTTAATTTTTATATATTCATATTTCTTCATTTTTAAGATTAGAATATTGGACTGGACAGCATTAAAGATGTTGTCCCAAAATCTTTAAACCAGGAAAAGAGTAATGCTCTTTCCAAACAGAAGAAATTAAATCCTGGCATGTAGAATCAAAAATACTGGTTTTGTTGCTTGAACTGAGTTAAAATAACCTCTAGAAAAATGGACCAATTATATGAGATTTGGGTAAGGTTCTAGTCCATGTTATTTTTCAAACGAAGTTCCGTTAACTCGTATAAAATGAAAGCTCCCAGTCTATTGAGAAAATAAAGCAGAAAAGCCTCTATTCCGAAAGTTAAGAGAGATAATATTTAAACACAGAAAATAACAGACTCTTGCAACTGGAGAAAGCAACTCACCAGATCCACCTGAAAACTGCAAACGCATAAATATAGAAGAAAAAATACATTCTTGGGAAATAATAGAAAAGCAAAACATCAGATCCACTCCACAAGGACAAAGCACCATGAGGAGAGTTTAAGTTATTTAAACATTTTTATAAACTTTACAATATAAAAATTCTTACCCTAGAGAAGAGAATATAAATGCAACATGGACATTTCCCTAAGGCTTCATGTATAAATACACTGGATTTGAAAATCTATTATTTCTGAGGTGGTTTGTGTTTAAGGTTACAATCTTATCTTTAGCTGTGTGCCTATCTATTCATGTTCCAAACATATTCTATTACTCAGATAGTTGTTAATTCTAAACTTCAGGAAATGAAATAGTAACATCTTATGCCTCTTTAGTTTAGCTTAACATTTTTATCCTACCAATATGCAAATTCCAAAAGGCTAAATAACAATGTGAATAATGGCCAGGGATATTTTTCTCAGTGTAAATGAGTTGATCATATTATTTTAAAAGGGCAGATTTGATTGGTGATGAGTAAAGCTGTAAAGCAGAAAGGGGTTATGAGTATTGATGTCACCATGGGAGTATAATAAATGTTCACCACAAGAAATATAAGGAATAGAGGGTCTATGAAAACCAAAAGCAAAGTTCTACATATTAAGACTAAAGTTACAATTAACTTTATAACACTTGGTGTCATTAAAAACATTCACCCTTATTCTTGCATTCAGTAACTTTTGCTTTGAATCCAGTCTCCTAATTCCGGTAAGACAAATACAGACACAGGACAGAAATAAGGGAGATTAAAAACAAAACTTTAATTTTAATAAGAGGTCTAAATCCAACTTACCAGATCTCTGACGTGAAGATGAATGTTCTGAAGATGAATGTTTGATATCAGCATAGATTATATCTCCAGCCATTGCATATATTAAAAAGAGAGAAAAATCACAAGTAGTAGTCTGCTGAAGGAGTTCCGTATTTTTGCAAACTTCCTGTAAGTGAGATAAATTGAGATGGATGATTTCCTTCCCCTCTCCAGAGTTTGGTGGGTTTCCCCTGTGAATAAAAGATAAGAGCAATGTGTTCAGCCTTATCAATCAAGGCAATAGATTTTTGAACACGTGCATGATATGGAAGAAAACTACTATCCATGCAGTATTTTCTTGCTCTTCAGTTAGTTTTCTGCCTACATTTGGAATAATTTTAACTTTTAGTAATACTACAGAAGATATTGCCTCACTTTCCTCTATAAACCACTTGCTCTTTTAGCTAAGAAATATTCTCTGGCAGAAGCTCTTTGACCTTCCAGCATTTTCTCCAAAGTGGAATAGCAATTTAGAAGGGAGGACAAGAAAAAAAGAGGGTTTTTAATATGAATGTAATAGAAAGAATTGATAGACTCCTCATCTTGAAATGCACTGTAATTAATTAGGTAATACTTTAAAAATACCCTTAAAGCTATTTCTTCTCATCTATGCTTTATAATATTAACATCAAAGTAAGTTGAGGCATAGATTATGCAGTGGATTTCCAAACTGCAAAGTAATCTATATGAGACAGAAATAACCCTATGTCAAAATAATTCAAGGTTCTGTCATAAAAGAAAATGAATCTCATTTTTAAATGAGGTTCACAGAAATTTAGCACTGAATGCAATGTATTAAGCATAGATTTTAATCTCCCATTTCTTCTAAAACTCCACTAAATTTATATTAAAGGAATAAAAATGTATACGTTCAAAACAATTTAAAAAGTGAATGGGTTCTAACAGATGAAAAAATTCAGTGAATTCCTGGAAAATGGAGAGTAGATGGAGATGTGATATTCGATGGAATAAAGCAAAAGAAAGTGAAGCCTAGAATATTTAAAGGTAAATAACTGAGGAGATAGCCCAGCTACCCATGAAACCCTCATAACACTCAGAGCTCAGAAATGGCAGGTATGAAAAATGACAGGAGACCTTAGCTGATAGCCAATAGGGTTGATTTCCTCAAGGTCCACCCAAATGCACTGCATACAATTATTTAAACTGTAGTCATCTCTCCCAGACCCCAGTCCAAGTAATTTAACCTACATTCATCAAATAGCTAGAGAACATATCTTGGCTTCTTGACATGTAGGGGTCTCTCAGTATAAAGACTAACCCCACAAGGCTTCTGACCTTGAAGGTCAGCCTTGAACACCAACCTCTGTCTCCTAACACCACTTTGACACTCCCTCTTTTCTGGGCTGTTGTAACACTTTATATGTTGTTCTGCATTTTATGTATGAAAAACTGACTTTGAGAAGTTACATGCAGATGGTTTGCGTAACCATTTTCAGAGTGAGGATTTGAACTCATCACAAACTGAATCCAAAGCCTAGGCCATAATACAATAATGCTTTCTAGATTTTGAGGGTAAGAATCATGTTTTATTATTCTTGCTATTTCCGTCATTCAATCTATGCCTGAAACATAATAGACACTTAGTAATTACGTGTTGGATTATCAAATCAGTTAATGCTACACTGAATTTTATTACTGGACTATAACATTCCATAATGAGAGCAATTACCTTTCACTAAAAAGTAGACTTCTAATCATACGAAAAGTAATACTGATGATCTAGCCATGTACAACTAAAACAAATACTGGTATGTGGAGAACCTATTATAAGTTATATAATAAATCCTTGGAATATGCAAATTTAATATTAATGATCCCTGTCTCCCCTCTCTGCTCCCAAGTAACAAAGGGTATGCATTCTGTAGTAATCTATAAATTCGATGAGTTATGGCTTTTAATTGAGTGTCATAATCCCTATAGGTAGGGCTCGCTTAGCCAGAAAGACCGTTTATATAAAGTCAACTTGTGGATGAATTATATAATGTAATGTTAAAAGTAGCAGTGCCTTGGAAAGCATGTTATTAAGTAATCCAAATAAAACACATCTGGAAACAAAATAAATCTGTTTAGTTAAATAGTCTAAACTCATCAAATGCTCATCAGCAAAGATGTGAAAGGGTAACAGATATTTAGTTAAGCTGCTGTATTTTAGGTATTATGTGTCCATAGTGATATTCTCAAATTTGGTGACACAACTTTCATGGGTATAACTTTTTTCAATGTCAAGTTTAAGCATTAGTGTGGTGTTATCATTATTGATAGATACTACTTCTAAATAATGGAGTAATATGTACTTGAAATAATCTTTATCACAGCCCTAACGTTAATAATAATTTTGTCAATCACTTTTCTGTGCATGGATTCCAAATCGAATTCTCAATCCCAGCCTATTTCTTGGAGTACAAGTCCTCATTTGCAACTGCTTTTCGGTATGTCAGACTCGAAACAATCAAAAGTAACCCAGACTTTACTGCTCTTTCCACTGTGTCACCTCTTTCTTTTGTTGGCTCCCTTCCTTTGGAGAAACTCGGGCTTAATATCTTTCCTTTGATTCCCGCTTCTCTCACTTTTCGAAGTTATGTGTGGGTGAGTGATGTAGGGTGGCATGTAATAAGTCATTCATGTGAGTTGAAGGAGTCTTTTTCAACTTAGATGAACTTGTGACAAAGAACATGCTCAGAGAAGATACTGCCATCTGGAATCAGGAAGAACTTAGTGAACGATTGAAAGTTTACCAATCAGAAAAGTAATTCCTCCTGTGCTTGCTGGCAAGAGAGGAAGGCAGAAAGTGTTTTCTCTGAATACTTCTGAGGGGAGAGAAAATTTTATTTTGCAGATAAATATCTACTTTGGAATACGAAGACAGGAAAAGAATTATGTGTCCTATGCTATATTTGTATTCGTGTGTATGTATGTGTATACATTTTTAAGGTCAACAATATGATATATATTTTTTAAAAAGCATATGCTTGTATGCATGCATGAAACGATTTAATTTTATATAGAAATGACATACCTTTTGCCTTTTTCAGTAATCTACAACACTGTCAAATATTCTAGGCTAGTGGTTCTCAACCTTGACTGCACATTGAAATTTCCTGGAGGGTTTTTTTTGTTTGTTTTTTTAAATACAGATATCTGGACTTCACATGAGACTTTAAAAACTTTTTTCATTTGTCTGCGTCAGAATTTTAAAAATCTCTCCTATATGTGATTCTATATATAGCCAGAGTTGAACACTGTCGAGCTACCACACATGAGTTTAGAGTGATATACAGGTTCAGCAATGAGAAGAAAAACTCAGGCAGCTGTAACAGGAGCAGAAATAGCAGCACTGATGAATAAGAGACCACGTTTCCTATATGCCAAACCAACAACAATGACAAGGTCCATCATTTTTCCCACACCAGGGGAACTCCTTAGTAGTAGAGACCAGATCTGAGGGAAAAACCTGACTCAAAAGTTGGCCTTGATTTCTTTTTCAAAACAGGATCCACAACTCAATGTGAACTAAAGGAAATGCATCCACGGATTGGTTTTGGTCCATGGGTGCCCAGGTGTCTCCATGACCTAGAGACTGTGTCTTGGAAATTCAATCTATAGAAATAAAACAACAGAGGCAGTGTGTATAGCAATAACACTTACCTTATACTGGAGGAAAAGTAGATAGATGTTTGAGAATTTTCATTGGTTATTACAGCACATTAATTAATTTGAGAAGTATGATGTTGCATGTTACAGGTCCTAAATCTGCAGATCCTAAATTTAGTAGGAGTACAGGATAGTCAGTATTTTCTTATTTCAACCACCAATTTGTACTCAGCTGTGGCACAGCAATATTTTTGGAAGTAACTGACTATATGTTAACTTAGATGGGCCTTAAGGATCTGTTTACTTAACGTTTACTTAGGGACTTTTAAAGAAAAGATCAAGATGTTTTAGTGTGTTGCTTACTTCTGGAGGAGTTCTCTCTATCCCTAAAATAATGGAGGTGCTGAAATCTAAGTTAGCATCCTTGAAAGAAAAGAAGGTACAGAAGCCACCTACTAACCCCAGACAGGAAATACTTACCAATGGTGATTTAGAGCAGTGAACAAAGAAGTCCTTCTGAGAGGAAAAATAATAGTACGGCCAGTTGCATTATATTTAAGTAACATTTTCATACTGATATAATTCTCATGATGTGTGTATTCTGGACAATTCACGTAAATGGAATCATATAATATGTAGGCTTTTGTGTCTGGCTGTTTCATTTAATGTTTTCAAGGTTCATCCAGATTGTAATATGTATCAGTACTTCATTCTTTTTTATAGCAGAATACTGTTCCATTGTATGGGTATACCACATTTTGTTTATACATTCATCAGTTGATAGACATGTGATTTATTTCCACTTTTGGCTTTCATTAATAATGCTGCTATGCGTTTTTGTGTGAACATGTCTTCAATTCTTTTAGATATATACATAGAAGTGGAATTGTTGGGTCATTTGTTAACTCTATGTTTAAACTTTTGAAAAATTGCCAAATAGTTTTCTCCTGAGGCTGCACCATTATACATTGTCATCATCAATGTATGAGTATTTCATTTCCTTCACATCCTCATCAACACTTGTTATTTTTTCACCTTTTCAATTATAGCTGTCCTACTGGGTGTGAAGTGGTTTTGATTTACATTCCCCTGATCCTTTGGAGCATCTTCTCAGGTACTTATTGGCCCTTTGTATATATATCTTCTTGAGAGAAATGTCTTTTCAAATTTTTGTCCACTTTTTTTTGTTTTGTTTTGCGGTACGCGGGCCTCTCACTGTTGTGGCCTCTCCCGTTGCGGAGCACAGGCTCCGGACGCGCAGGCTCAGCGGCCATGGCTTGCGGGCCCAGCCGCTCTGCAGCATGTGGGATCTTCCCGGACCGGGGCACGAACCCGCGTCCCCTGCATCAGCAGGCGGACTCTCAACCACTGCGCCACCAGGGAAGCCCCCCCTAAACAAGTGTTTTTTAAAAGTGTATATTATATGGCTAAATTGTTTTGGTTTCAATTTTTCTATATTATTTGGTTACAAGTTTCCATCACAGTCCATTGC